ACAGTGATCACCAAGCACAACGATGATGAGCAGTATGCTTGGGAGTCCTCAGCTGGAGGGTCCTTCACTGTCAGACTGGATAATGGTGAGTGTTCAGTGCTCTTGCTCAATGATGATTTTTAAAGATGCTTGGCAATGATACATAGTCTGCTTTGGAAAAGGACACAAGATAGAAAGAATTAATACAAGTAATGTGTCACATCTTGCTATTCTAGTTGGCATAATTCAGTATATATTGAATGCCCAGGTGAATGGTGCATTAAGCTTTCAAAGCTTAAAACATGAAAAAATATTAGTCAAATTTCAATGATGTGTGCAGAGTCTTCAGAGACTCTGAACAGAGTAGTAAACATGTTCTGAAGCTTGTTTGAAATACACGCAGGGTACAGTAAACTTGAGAAAGTGTAAATTAACAGCCTAGGTTAGGTTACATGGAAGCTTTGTTTTCCTAATGGTGAAAATGTGGCTGGTGGAGCATTGCATTTTTAAAGTGTTACATTAAGTCTGCTGCAGCAAAGTGTAAAGCATGTAAACTCCATTCTAGGTGAACCACTGGGCCGTGGAACAAAAGTCATCCTGCATCTTAAAGAAGATCAAACTGAATACCTGGAAGAGCGGCGAATCAAGGAAATCGTGAAGAAGCACTCTCAGTTCATTGGCTACCCAATTACACTCTTTGTACGTATCTTACATTAAATGCTACACAAGTATCACCACTTTCACATGAGAGAGTTCGTGTAAGAAGGGGAGCAGTTAATCTTTCTTTGGTTAGTTTTGGTTTCTCCCAATACGTTATATGGAGAAATTCTGGGGAAGTGTAGTTCCATTACATGCAACTGCATTTCACAGGACTAGATGAAAAAAAAAGACGTTTTCTAAGCCAATAATGTTGGTTACCAAATGATTAATTCATCTGGGTGTATTGTTGAGTCATTCAGTGTAGTGAAAGTGAACAGTAAGAACTTCGCTAATAGAACATGGAGACAACCACCACTTGTGTCAGCACCCAGAATGAGAGTCCTTGGAATGTGGATAGGACAGCTTGACACTGTGAAATTCCCTGGCTTTGTGAGGCTGCAAGGGGTACCTTAGAACTGCTACTTAGTAATTCTACAGCTTTTGGAATTTTAACTACTGATGCTGTTCTGTAGGTGGAGAAGGAGCGTGATAAGGAGGTGAGTGATGATGAGGCTGAGGAAAAGGAAGAGGAAAAAGAAGAGAAGGAAGAAAAGACAGAGGATAAACCAGAGATTGAGGATGTTGGTTCTGATGAAGAAGAAGAGAAGAAGGATGGAGATAAGAAGAAGAAGAAGAAGATCAAGGAGAAGTACATTGATCAGGAAGAGCTCAACAAGACCAAGCCCATTTGGACCAGGAACCCAGATGACATAACCAATGAAGAATATGGAGAATTCTACAAGAGTCTGACTAATGACTGGGAAGACCACCTGGCTGTCAAAGTAAGTTTCTTGACATTTCTGTTTCTCATTTGGAGAGCTGTTATGTGATTATTGCAGTGGAACCATGCAAATGGACTAAAATTATCATCTTGCTTTCTCACAGCACTTCTCTGTGGAAGGGCAGCTGGAATTCAGGG